ATAAATATCAGGATATCTCTTCGGTGGTGGAATATTAAACTCCAAAATATGAATAGATGCTATTACAAAATATGATAGCTGTGAAATAGATAAAATAATTGGATGATTAGTAAAACACAGCTATGTAAATAACGTTAATAGATGACGAAACTCACCCATGATATATATTTTAATATTATAGGTTTGGTATCTTGTTTGATAAAAGAACCAATCCAATTCCACATAAGCCATACAGTAAAATATGGCAAAACTAATTTATCCTTTTTCAATAGCGGAAACATACTAACACATAATAAATATTTATTATACTTGTTAGTGTCATCAATATTAACACACTTAGTTATCAGAAAATGATATTATACCTGAACATTGCAACATTTATAAACCAAGAACACCAAAAAGTATCATCTAAAATTAATAGACAAATAGGTAACACAGGTAACAGAATAGATTTTTCATGGACTTGAAACGAAAACATGAAAAAAGCTAGTGATGAATTTGCTAAACCATAAATAAGGTAACGTTTATCAGGATTTAATCCGAGATAAACGCATGATGGCAAAATAGCCAATACGGTGGTAATTAAGCTAAATTTACACGATAAACACTGTAAATATTGAGCTATAACGAAAGCTAAATGATCATTTATCATAATATAATGATATATTACCTAATTTTAGCCAACACATGAATATCAAAAATTTCTCTCAACTTGATAATTACATTAATTGCACACCAAATATTCGCGACTTTGTCTTCATATAGCCCACGTTGTAATGGGAATATGCGAATAATGACTTGTGAAATTTGTTCTAAAGATCCTAGGAAAGGATAAAATACTATTCCAAAAGTAACAATCACTGTAATGCCCAACTTCACAATCCTACGCACATATAAGCTACATAAATTAAATTGATTCAATAAATTTTGGTAAACAATAATAATATAATCTGAGTAGTTACCCTCGTACATCATTCTTTATGCACTTTCCTAACAAATATGAAAAAATTGGGAGAGCATAGTAGAGTGCCATCTGTTTAAAACTCAAGGAAAGACAAAAGAATACACTTCCTAGAACATCATAGTCATAGAAAAAACAATTGACCGCCCACAGGGTTAAACCAAGCATTACAGAATTATATCTAATGTAAATATACAAAAAGTGTAATGAACAACCTTTGTTGAGAATAAGAGATTATAATAATGACGGTTTATACATACTGAAAATGACCATTATCTATTAATATAAGGGCAGGTTGCAAGAGAATCAACAATACTGCCAATTCCTAATAAAGTATCGGTTTAAACAAAGCAATCGTAACAATAAATAACTAACTTGGAACTCTTTGGGTACGTACCCGCTTCTTCCATGAATTACCAACAAACCACCAATTAACAAACATTAAAACTGCTGGTACATAAATCAAAAATTCACAAACTAAGACTGTAGACCTCATGAACAGTTTACTTTCATCACTCTCATAACCACGTGAACTATCCAAGGCAAACCAAGTTGGATCAAGTATAGAACCTCTAGAAAATTTTTTAAAGAAAAAGATAAACCCAAAAGAATAATTATAAAATTGAATTCAACCAATCATACATTTTACCACAAATCCAGCTCACATATGCCGTCAACGGAGGATAATCAAGACCCCACCAATCCAAATCGTAGTAATACCATTGATTAATTGGAACATGTAACGTAAGTTCCATCCAATGTCTTTGTGCTTCATAATCACCGTACATCGGTAGAGTGTTATAACCTGAGTCGACATAATGTCGAATTTGTTCATTTATAAAGTGTTTTTTACAAGGCAATTATTTAATGCAACAATTTAAACTTGCCAGAATAAGGATTCAAGCCTACAGTCCATCTAACGTAAAGCGCGAAAATTAAAGTTATGAAAGTAGACCAGCTTTCTATTTTTAAATCGCTCACCCAACTTAACCATCTTCTCGCTGGTGAATCTATAATAGATTCCACCTCAGATCGCCCGTGA